ACCGCAAGTCCAAAACCGATGGGGAATTATTTAGTTTTTAATGAACGAACCCCCCCCCCTTTTTTCTAATCACTCAATGGAGTCAGTTCGGAGATTTTATCTTACCGAAGGCCGAAGGATTATCAAGAAATGATTTTTAACACCTATCCACTTTCTTGCATTGCTCGGGAAAGGATCGAGTGGTCAGCAGAGTGTCTCTAAACGACACTAAGGGCTCAATGGCTCTTTCCACGGCCCATTGCAGAAGGGGCAAATCGCGGATATTCCTCAATACTTCCGCATCCACTGTCACCACTTTGCATCAATTCAAAGCCCCGAGTTCACAACTAGCGAAATCTCATCAATACCGATCGACCTTCTGCTACCCTCTGAAGCGGAGCGTTTTTGATATTGTGCTGCATGGCGGTGACCCCTCACACGGGACAATAATACACAATAACATGGTCGGAAGACCTAGGAGCCAAGGGTGCGAAAATTGCCGAAAAAGGGAAAAGAAGGTACTACCACTGGCCGGGCATTTGCGCCTTTTCCTTGTCGGTCACACACTGATCTCAGAAATGACAATGCTAATGTGGAAGAGAAGAGCCCAAATGTATAGCCTGCGAGAAAGCTGGCTGGATCTGTCCGGGTTATCTCCGCCAATGGAAATTCGTCGACCAGACTGATGCCATGGCAAAGCTCTACTCTAAGAAATGGTATATTCTCGAGAAGAACTACCCCGATTGCTCGATGAGTCCCTCAAATAGCCAAGAGGCTGTGCTTTGGGACTTAAATTTGCACTTGGTGGGTGATAAGATCTCGTCCGTGTTGGTCTACTTGCTGGAAAATCCCCGCAGCCAGGCAATCTTTCCTCTCGCATCCCACGGCAGCTTCTATTCAATCATCCCTAGTCCGTTAGGTCAAATTGCGGCTTTGGACTCAGCTGTTTCGTGTGTATGCCGCGTCTTCATACACTTTATGTCAGGACAGGCGGAAGCCACCGCCGCGATCATTGAAAATATGTAAAATGTCTACAAACACTACGCGATGTGCTTGACAACCCGCGCTCACGACAGCATGCGGAGACACTGTGTGCGTCCATAATCCCACAACTATGCGAGGTTGGTGCGATCCTTCCAATTTCGCTGAGTTTCAGCGAAACCTGATTGTTTAAGTTTGACCTTAATTTATCACAGCTTCTGTTGAATAAAGACTTTGCTATATGCCCAACTGCTCGTCATCGAGCAAGACAGAAGCTTATGGACGGAGCAAAATCATTCGTGAAAAGGTATTCGAGAGCCACGGCTAAGCCAATTGAATATGAAGCCCAACGACTAAGAACTACTGGTCTGGGTATCAAATTACTTTGGTAGTTTTATTTTGGCAATCAGGATATGATTTTTAAATTTCCATGATTGGAACCTGGAAGCAAACAGGAACACGACTCTTGCATTATAGTCATATATGTGGAATCTTGATATGACCTTGCCTGGAGCCAACGGCTAACCGTGGTACCTCAGGGAAGCGAAAGGTCATGGAGAATCAAGGAGAACGGGCCCACCTGGAAAGCGGAGGGCAATTAAAATCCCAATTTGTAGAAATAAATAGACTCCATGTTGTGCTGGGCGCCTTACATGCCTTATAGCCGCCTTCCAGTCCAACAAAGTTGCTTTCACCACGACATAGGCATCTTCAGGCGTGGTTGAAGAATCCGTGTTCATGTTCACTTGCAACCTGACTGTCCTTCTGGAAGGCGGAGTTGTCTGAAGTTAGACTATTCATGAAGTGTGATGATACTTACTCAAGTTTTAGTCAACGAAAGTTGCTCTATTTTATAATATGTGAACAGCAGAATAGCAGGAATAGTTGCTCCAGCCAGATTTACTATCTACTAAAAGAACTAGCCTCTCTAGTGTATAAAAATACCATGGGCCACAGTCTTCCCCAGTCCACTGCAACCTTTGAAGGCAATTCCGAGGAGTTTCCGAATCGCGAGCTTACCGCCACAAGGTCTCCGTGGACTATTGGAAAAATTGACGAATCATGCCTATGTGCCTGTTCCTCCTTGTCAATTTCCGAAGACCGGCAGCTAAGGAAAACACTGCGACCCCAGCTGTTAGAGCACCTGATTTGTTGGTATTGTGCTGTCCTCTTGATACGCAGAACTCATGCATTAGAGTTAGACTTGTATCTATATTACTTGTGACCCCACACTGCCCCACAACAATACAACTAGCTTACACATGCTACAAGACCGGCCGACTGACAAGCTCCACCGAGTTTAAATTAATTGGCCAATCAGAATATGGAGCGTAGAGCCGGTATGCGGGTTTTTCATGTCCTGTGATTGGGCCATTTGAGCCCCTGGCCCGAACTCTTTCCAGTAGCAAACCATGGAACGTTATTGACCGAACGCTAATGCGGCCAACTAACAGCCCCACCTGAGCTTAAATCGGTCGCTCAATCGTGCCAAGCAAATGGCAATCCGAATGAAGAACGGTCAACTTCTGGCGTCTCCGTTATGTGTGACCCGCAGGATCATCCTTACAGATACAACTAGACATGCGGTCTTTCTCCCGAATGACTCGCCAGATGACGAGTGAAGGGATTTCGACGTTTGAAACGGCTCTCGCAGCCTGAAAGACTGCATTCCAACTTGGGCTGTGGGATGCTAGTTGGTATGCCCTCGTGGCCCATGTGGAGGGATGATCCGGTATACATGGGGGAGGGTCAAAGACATACCATACCACACTTCTTGGAACATGAGGGCGCCATCTTGTCTATATGTAGAAAATGAGGGTATCTTAGGAATTGTCAGCTTTTTGCAGGTCGAGATAGCTTTTTGGAGAGCAAATATGCATCTGATAAGATATCCAATCGCAAGTTGGACCACGGAGATCTTATGAGTCAAGGCTTCATCTAGTGCCCCGCCAAGTGGACAAAGAACCGTTGGAACTCAATTGATTCACCGACTTCTCTGCAGGGAAATGCCGTGCCCAATTGTACATTTGAAACAGCCAGAAAGGACATAGTAGCTTTACTTATCACTTTACAGCGTTGTTACAGACGAAACGACGTGTGGCAAGCGCAATGTCCCTTGCGGCCAATCGTCTGCCACGCGCTTGCCCATCACTTCTTTTTGGTAGAGAAAAATATTCTGTTATTTGATTGGCTGTTACGTTGCTTTACCCCACGTTTCCTCTGTTCTCTTCTCTGAATTGTCCTCGTTTGGTGGGTCATTTCTATTGATGACCATGTCTAGGGCCATGAGCCTATGTTACAGCCGCTTGATGGTATCCATGACACTTTCCATCTCCAGCCCCAGCAGTCCATTTGCAAGCTTCTCCTCCTGGACATAGTTTGCACGGAGGCCAGGCGTGTTACCAAAACAAGTGGCCCGGACCAGTGTGAAGGCGCCGCTGAAATCACCGGCTGTGAGCTTCTTGATAGCGGCACTGACCTGCTCATCCGTGGTGGTATCTTTGATCGTCCATCTAGCCCCAGTCACCTTCTCTAGAGCCGTGACAATTTCTCTCTGGGTTGTCTCCACAGAAGCGACATAGAGGTACTGGTTGCTAGTCTCCCGTGGATTTTCGAGAACAGATACCACCGACTGGCCCAGCTGCTTTTCGTTGGTCAGAGTGAAGCTTTTGTTCCCGCCATCCCAGATCGTAGCTGTGCGATTGGATATGTCGAATTCCAAGAAGCCATTGCGAAGACCCTTGTGATGACATGATAATTAGAATACGACGCAAACTCCACGATATAGTAAATCACTTACCCAGTCGAACAATCCCGACGTGGCAATGCCAGTCCAGGTCAAGCCCGAAGATTCCTTACTTTTCAGGTACTTGATCACGTCATTCTTCTGCCCAAATAGTGGCAGTAATTGCAGTACAGCCTCACTCTGGCTGTTGGCTGAGAACTCCGAAGGGATGAAACGCTGGACCCCAGCGGCGATGGCCGCATCCACCAGCGCCTTCTGTTCATTGAAAGCAGTAGCTCCGACTGCCGAGATCACAGCATCTTGTCCCCGAAAGGCGGCCTCCAGACTACTTCCTGAGAAGTCGGTCTTGAGAACTGTGACACCTGGGGGGAAGGCTGCCTCACTCTCCTTGCGGGAGATCACAGTTATAGTAAATTTGTTTGAGACGACCAGACTGTCAAGAATGATCCTGCCAATATTGCCGCTGGCCTGGAGATTTGTTAACTTATGCCAAATATGAAATTAGTAGATGTAGCCTAAAGGCGTTCTTACCCCGATAATTGCAACTTTCTTCAAGATAGTTGCCATTGTAGATGTGCGCTGGGAAGTCAGGTTTGTCTCTGATGATTTCTGGCTTCAAGGTTTCTGATGGATGTTCACCTAGGTAGGACCGAGGAGAAGGGCATATTTATATATTCAACTCGAATCATCATACTCGCCTTCCAAGATGTGATTTCAAATGGATAGTACCGACACCTGTTTACGGTGGATCATTGATGATGATGCGATTAGTTAAAGCGGACATTTCACCGTTTTCCCGCCGTAGCCAATCGGAGACTGAATGCCCAACTGCACCAATCATGTCGACCGCTGTTCTCTTGAGCCCCACTGTCGTGTAAGCTATGCTAAGGTAATCCTGACTGTATGCTTAGAAATGCGGGATGTATTTTCTAAACAACCGAGTTTACCAGGCCAGTGCGAAGGTATTTCGTCGTCTCTATTACGAGGACAACTGCAATATGCAGAGGAGAATACAATCTGACATGACCCGTCTTTCATCTACGGGTAAATCTTGCCTTGAGTGCCGACGCCGAAAGATCAAATGCGATAAAGCCCTTCCTTGCTCATACTGTGTTAAGGTCAAGGTTAGGTGCGCGTATCCACCGAGAAAAGGTGTATCCAGAAATGACAGTCAAAGTCTACCCGACCAAGAGCTGGGTACTCGCGTTGAGATTATCGAGCGGACACTGATTTCATGCGAGGAAAGTTTGTCGCAGATCTGGCAGGTTGTTCAGACTACGCGGTCACAGCCACCATGGCTAAGTAGTAATAAGTCCAACCATTCGGTCACAAACGATGTGCGCGAGCTTCAGGCGAGTCCAGCAAGACCATGTCAAGCCGGACGCCGAGACTTTGCATCTCGAGGGTATTCTGTACATACTTCGCAATCTCTTCACCCCTCATCAACGACAATATTCTTTCTTTGGCAGACGTACTTAGAGCGAGTGCACCCGGTTCTCAAAATAATTCACGCACCTAGTGTTCAACGTCAAATTATTGAGTTCCTACAAGAGGGAATATCCGACAGCTCGCCAATTCACTGCTTGTTGTTTGCAATTTACTACACAGCTGTGGTGGCCCTGACAACCGAAGAGTGCAAGAAAGCGCTCGGCTGTGACAGACCAACTTCACTACAAAGGTAAACCAACCCGTGAAGCAGGAAGTGACGCTCAGCTGATAGAGCAAGTTATCGAAAGTCAATCGAGACGGCTCTTGCCCAGGCAGACTACCAGAAATCAACAGACATAACCGTCCTACAAGCATTTACCCTCTATACTGTAGGATTCTGATTTCATATCTAGCTAGATAGTCCATAACTGATGGTCTTATGCAGGTTTGCGGCAGGTTTGATGCACAAGGCCCGGACAGCAAGAGTCTGACCAGAGTTGCCATTACAATAGCGTTTGAAAATGGACTGAACGACGAGAATTCAAACTCCAATATCGCACCATTCGAAGCTGAAATGCGACGTCGCCTTTGGTGGCAGATCTTCATCCTTGACGTTCGAATGGCAGAAGATGACAGGTCCGAGCCGCTCATCTTGGAGTCACGGTTCCACAACAAATTTCCATCAAACCTTAGCGATACAGATCTTGACCCTGATATGAGTTGCATCCCCAAAAACCATCCTGCAAAGAGCGAGATGTTGTTCAGTCTGGTTAGGCTTGAGGTCAGCTATTTTACGCGCCTGGTATCTTTCTCCGATCAATTTACCGAAAGAAATTCATACCCGACCATGTCGACCTCAGAAAAATGTGAAGCAATTGATCGGTTTAAAGAGCGGATGGAGCGAGAAAACCTTTCGCATTGCGACATGTCTATTCCTCTAGATTTTGTCACTGCCGAGTCCACTCGTTTGATCCTTGCCAAGCTCAGGCTCGCAGTGAGCAAGCCTCGAAATAGAGAAAGCCAACATGTGCTCATTCAAGACAGCTTTCGTGAAAATTGCGTGGAGATTCTTGAGCGAACTAAAGCAATGCGTCTCCATGAACGGGGCAATCTATGGCTATGGCTGTTTCAGACCTACATTGAATGGGATATCTTGACGTATCTATTTATCAGCTTATCTCTTTCTCCGTTGGGGCACATGGCGGACGTGGCATTGGCGGCTGCTGAAGATATTTATCAATATTGGAACGGGATGAGTGACTCTCGCGGATGTTCACGCTGGACCCGTATCAAAGAATTTCATGCTCAGGCTTTAGTCGCAAGGGAGATGGCTATAGCCAACCCTAGCTTGTTCGGGATATTACCGAATGGAACAGAGCCGCTTGAAGACTGTGAATCGATGGCGACGGGAACTCACGAAGCCATTACATCAACCACCACTCAGCCTGGAGTATCCGGCCCTATCCTTTCACCAGAAGTATGTGTCTCTCCATTAGTCGGGCGACCAGAGTCATCGATGGAGCCTGAACAACGTTTCGCTCAGATGCATGGACGCCAGAATACACAAACATCTGAAGAGACTTCGGATATTCCTAGCTCCGGTACAGCTTGTCAGTGGAGCAAGGCACTCTTTGAAAGCTATCTTGAAATCCTTGACTCGGAGCAGGAAGGGGCTATATCATGGTTCTGAGTGTTAATGGTACATCGTTGACCGGCGTGGATAGCATTGCATGGGCTCCATAAACTATTTGAAGCGTACTGTCAAGAAATTTTGGCTACCGATATAATAAAATGGTCTATTCAGACATTCTTGAGGTAAATTTCACTTTTGGGGCGCTTGTGATATTGGACCAGAAGTGTGACAGCCAAGGCTGACCTCCGCACAGCTTGGGGCAAATTTGGAGATCTTCCTTGATTATCTACAAACAAAAGAGGAATCTTTGCATGAAGTGGAACTGCTCAGTTTCAGGGCTCTCTTAGCAACGTAATAATGGGTCCTGCCCTACAAGTGGTACGTGCGGTACGGAAATTCAAGTGTCTCGTACATCGACCGGATGCCATCGCGCCCGGATTAATTGGCGATAAGACTCACATTGCAATTGCAATCTTGAATACGGCTTCCTCCACGATAAAATCTGATTTCTAAAATTTGTTAAAAGAGATAACAAGCAGAAGTTTGAAAAATATATATCATTTCTTGTCGCCCCAAGAATCAGATTTCATCCGAAAACTCCTGCCATGTGAAGCGGCCAACCGTAGGAAAATTCAATGAAATTCCGATACGTTTGAAATATTTGTGAGTCCAGGGGCTTAGGATACGTCAACCGAGCCTGGGCTTCTGGTCGTAATGAGATGCCTTCACCGGAGATACACGCACTATGGTCGTATAGCTCTGGGTATGTAGCAAAGAAAGCAGGATCAATTTTGTAGTTTGACACCCCAAGATCCATACCAAGGTGATTGAATACAGCCAGAGAATAGTCGGTGGATGAAAATAGAGTGGCCACGTCAGGTGCAGGAAGATTGACGTTGGCTGCCTTATTTGATCCCTTGTCAAAGGCCGATGGATCAATATTCTGGACAAGGTCTGTAACCCGAATGTGGGCTTTGATCATTGGTGCCCCTGCAATCAAGTCGGACATCCATGCCTCCACAACATAGCTACTGACAACATCGCAGAATATTTGATCAATGCGGGGATTCGCTGCGTGGAATTGGATGAGTCGGTCCCTGATAGTGGGAAATGGTATCCAATCTATGACTTTTGGGTACTGATTTTGTAGTTGTGTTTGCAAAACAGTCGGCTGGTATTGTGAATGGATGGAGTCGAATGTTAAGGCGCAAGGGCAGACTTGCCAGGCCGTTAAGTTGACAATATGGTAAAATCGTGTTCGAGCATACCATCGCATAACGTCCGGGCGAGTCATACTATTGAAGAGAGCTAAAACCATAAGAACCTCCTGGTAAAAGCTGTGACGGGGTCAGCATCAACGTCGGCACTGAGCTTTGTATGCGTAGATTGAAAGGCTCTTACTGATCAATGGTTGACTTGGAAAGTAAAACGGTAGGATCTAGTTTGCTCCTCATAAGGCTCTGAAGAACATGGATGTGGTCGGAGAAAGGTGAATTTGACTCGATCCATGCGCGACCAAGAACAAGGCTAGAATCTTCACTTCCAGCTAAACAATCTGCGTATGGGCCGGGGCCCATTTGGTACTCAAAAGACCAGATACTGGGAATTTGCTGAGCTAGGCTGTCGAAACTTGCAGCAATATTCAAAGCAGCATTGCAGTCGATGCTCGGCGCTCGAGTGCGTATCTCCTGTTCGTGGTCCGCATTCTGTGCCGCAGGTTGGGTCGATTTAATAGGTGGAAGTTCTCTTCTGAATAGGGGTTTCGGAGCTATCGTTGGCCTTGGGTTTGATACAAGTTCTTCGGTAGCAGTAGCAGACGTGGCGTGGCCCTGGCAGAAGTCGAAAATGTTGGATTCATCCCGGGTGGTATCCACGACAGCATTTGACACCGTTTCAGACAAGCCCTGCACTGTAACCACGAGTCGGGAAATCTTAGATTCCAATTCGATAAGACTGCGGCGTAGACGTCTATTTTCTTCCCGTAATGCTCTATTCGTCTCGTCATCTGGCCTGCCAGTCGCGTTGACATCATCTAGCAGCTGTCTTAGGCGATCTGCCTGTCTCCGACGGAACGTTTGTTGCGATAAGCGGTTTCGGAGCCTCCTGGTTGTTAATTAATAAATTAGATACTAAAATGCATTCTTGATTGAGGAAAATACTTCTTGTTGAGGTCCTCTTTCGTCGTCGCATTTGCATTTTTGTTGACTGACGGGGGTTTTTGACGGACCATGGTTAATCAAGTACGAGATGCAAGACGATTGATTTGCTTGCACCCGGAAAACAACCGATTCAAGTACGGAGAGGTGTTCCCAGATAGTCAAACAGACACCCTCGGCATTCATCAGCCATTAGCTGTAGAATAGGAAACGAGCTAGTATGCAGCCTGCGGTAAAATGCAGTACACAGGGCGAATGGATAAATCATGCAAGTTTCGAAGTTTAGACGCAGACGTACAAATGAGGTTGAAGAAGCCCCGAATGTCTCCTCATTCGTTATTCCCGATCCGCGGGAATAGCGTCGGGAATAGCGTCGGAAATGCCTTTGAACGGGAATAGAAACCAATCGGAAACCCAAACACATTGTTTCGATGGAACTTATCGTGTGTAATACTGTCCAAGTCTGAAAACAAAACAAGATTGACTTAACTAACTTAACGTTAGAGCACACATGTTGATGCCTGGGTGGGTTCAGGCGGCGCCCCAGTTTTTGAGTTAAACTATTCTCAGTTTCCAGACCTAGATAGTTTCTTCTCTCTCAATCAACTACGTTTCTCCAGATCTGCTCCTCTAGCTCTTTCAACGCGGCTATTTCCCATGTTCGTTGATTATACAGTCAGAGTACCGGTCTTGGAGATTAGATACTCCTCGATGGCAACATCCTTGCCTGCCTCCTTTCCATATCCAGATTGCTTGATTCCGCCAAATGGAGACTCTGCGCATGATGAATTTCCTGAGAAGGTTAGAAATCAATATTGTTTCTCATAAAGTAACAGAGTCCGAAGCATGCTCTTACCGGTATTCATGCCAATCATTCCTGCTTCGAGATTCTCAAGTAGCCTCCAGGTGCGGTTCACGTCCTGGGTAAAGAAGTAAGAGGCAAGGCCCATACTTGTGTCATTGGCCAGTTGAACAACTTCATCTTCAGTCTCAAATTTATATAAGCCCAAGAGTGGTCCAAATGTCTCCTCCTTGGTTGTCAACATATCTGACGACATGTTGGCAATAATAGTTGGCTCGAAGAAATAGCCATTTTCGTATTCGGGAGATAGATTGTCTGGTCGCTTGCCACCACAAAGGATCTGGCCACCTTTGTTGATCGCATCTTGCACCTGTCTCTGGAGCTTTTCAACCCCTCTTCCTGTTGTGAGAGGCCCCATGGTGGTATTTGAACCCATGCCGTGCCCTACGGAAAGCTTCCGCGTTGCTTGAAGCAGCAATTCGGTGAACTTGTCGTATATACCACTTTGAACGTAGACCCGATTTGCGTGCGTGCACGCCTGGCCAGCAGTTCGCCACTTGAGAATCATGAGGGCAGCAAGTGCCTGTTCCAAGTCTCCATCGTTGAAGACAATGAAGGGGCAGTTGCCTCCCAGCTCCATTGTCACTTTTTTCAGACCAACACTGCAGTTCCTCGCGACAATGCTACCCACTGCTGTGCTGCCAGTAAATGTAACCTTTCGAACTAACGGATGTTTGCAGAGGGCTTCTGCGACAGAAGGAGTATTGACATTATCGGTCGAGATAATGTTCAAGACACCAGGTGGTAATCCAGCACGGATCGCAAGATCAGCTAGAGCCATGGCGCTCAAAGGAGTCTCGGGAGATGGCTTCAGAATCATGGTGCAACCCGCTGCGAGGGCAGCAGCAACCTTGCGGATGGTCATAGCAATAGGGAAGTTCCAAGGGACGAGAGCGACGCTTACGCCGATGGGCTGTTTGATCACGAATGTGCGTCTATTACCGATAGAAGGCTGTGCAATGGAGCCGCGAATCCGTTCGGCTTCGCCGGCAAACCACCAAGCAAAGCCTAGTGCATAATCGACCTCTCCAAGAGCTTCAGTCAACGGTTTGCCAGTCTCATACACCACAATCTTAGCGATGTCGTCGCGAGCAGCTGTGATGAGCTCGTGCCACTTGAGCAAGATCTTGGCCCTTTCTCGAGGATTGACATGCTTGTACTTTTGGAAGGCAGCCTCAGATGTTGTGACATAGGCATCAACATCGACAACATCGTTATTGGTGGGGTTCGCAAAGACTTTCCGAGTTCCAGGGTCTACCAATCCAATGACCCTGTCAGTCACAAAGACATTGAATTCGCGACTAGGTTTTAGTACTTACCTTCAACCTCAAACGTTTGGCCGGATTTTGATTGAACCCATTGGCCATTCAAGAGCGATCTCTCATGAAACAAGGTCGGATCGTTCAACTTTGGGAATTAGCCATTGAAATGTTAAGCCTCAAGGATAGAACAACTAACCTCGATGGGTGCCATGCTTGACCTTGCGTTGATCAACAGTGAGGAAATGTTTCGACGTGACTATCAAGTTATAAACTACCTCCTATCTAGAGAGAGGGGGGGATCAGGCTGATTTATATATCATGTTGATTCCATTTACCCTCATGCCCCATACCAGTGCAACCTTTTGGATTACACATCGCGTGAAGATAGCTAGCTACCAACAACAGCCTGCTATTGGCTTCCTCTTTCGAACTGTTGGTTGCCGGTCCTTCTCACCTAATCGCCTGCTTAGCTCAATTCAAATCCATACCCACAACGGACATAAGGACAAATTCCGTTTGGCGAACACGCTAGAAATGGTACCCGCTCTTGTCTGAGAAAACATATGTAAAACTACCTCTCAAATAATCGGTCGATTATCCAGCATGTCAGGAAAAGACCCACAGTTGTCATTATTCGCGCTAAGGTCCGATTGTACCATGGGACCTGGCTTGGGACGATCTCGGGTGAGGTCCGAGGCCATAATTGCCCGATTACGTGGTTGTCATGGCTATGCTCACGTCTTCACTGTAACTTTTGGAAATCGCCTACATACTCTGTATCTCGGATGTATTTAATAAAGCGACATGATCATGTCACATAGTATTTGATACATGAATTCTACACTTCCTGAAGTAGCATTCATATTCGAACGTCACCATGACCGGGAGCAGGAAAGAAGTTCATGTTGCTATAATAGGTGAGCGAGGCTGAATGTAAAATTGATCGACGATGTTGTTGACGGTGCCCTCTTTCATGACAGGCGTGGGCGGAGTTGGCAGTTGTGTTTTGCGGCAGCTGGCATTTTTGGCCAAGAACTGTCGGTCGGCGGAATTGAAGCTGTGCTATATAGCAATGATCGATAAGGCCTTGTATACAGCCGATTATACAGGCTTGGACATCGATACCGCTCTTGAGGCCTTGGAATCTAACGGTCAGAGCCCGCCCACAATCTCGTTTATTGCCGACTATCTCTCACGGGCACCCGGCAGCACAATCCTAATTGACAACACCGCCGCCAACGTTATCGCCGAAGCCTACCCGCTATTTTTGAGTCAAGGAATAAACATCGCAACCCCCAACAAGAAACCATTTTCGGGAAGCTACCAGCTGTGGCAAAACATCCAAGATGCAGCCAAATCGGGGAAATTTCATGTATTCCATGAATCCTCTGTCGGGGCTGGGATGCCCATCATCTCGACCCTGAATGACTTCGTTCAAACAGGTGATCAGGTTACCCGGATTGAGGGAGTCTTTAGTGGAACAATGTCCTATCTATTCAATTCATTTTCTCCTCTTCAGGGGAAGAGCGCTCAATGGTCTGCAGAGGTGAAGAAGGCGAAGGAACTAGGCTTCACTGAGCCAGACCCTCGAGATGATCTAAACGGACTTGATGTTGCGCGCAAATTGGTCATTCTTGCCCGAATCGTGGGCATCCCTGTTGAATCTACCTCCTCTTTCCCGGTGGAAAGCTTGATTCCGCAGGAACTTGCAAACATCAAGGCTGCTGATGAGTTCCTCGATCAATTGCCTCAATTCGATCATCGAATGGAGGCCATCAAAGCTGTCGCGGAGAAGAATAATCGGGTTGTGCGCTTTTCTGGCAGCATCGATGTTTCTACCAAAAAACTGAAAGTTGGAATGGAGATGTTTGATCGATCTCATCCAATCGCGCTCCTCAAGGGTAGCGATAATATCATCAGCTTCCATACGAAGCGATATGGAACAAAACCCATTATTATTCAAGGCGCTGGTGCTGGCGGGGAGGTAACCGCTATGGGAATTACAGGCGATGTGCTGAAGATCTTGGCTCGGATTTGTTAATATCGGAGTGGGTTGAGTTAGAGCACACTTGGCAAACATTGATCGCCACGATCGTGACCAAATACTATCTGTGTCGGCCACCAAGAAGTGACCCACTTGGCTGCCGACTGGTGATGTGCTATGGCGATCAAGAGCTGAACATATATTCTAAATCACAAGGAGGTGACCAATTGAGTACTAATTCCCACCCCTGGTAGGAATTTTGAGACCAGCTGCATACTCTAGATGAAGTACTCCTTACCTGTTTGGGATCTTAAGGGAATGTAGAGCTGCAGTACGTGCAGGGCGGGTCAGTTCTCCGATCAATTACTCCGCATCTTGTTAAAGTGTCCCTCCCTGCGCATTGGTCTTTTTCGATTGGGTGTCTTTCGCAATTCCGTGGTGTCGTCCATCTCAGGAGTAGGGGAGAATCAATAGATGCCCGATAGTGGAAGGAAGGGGTACGCCACAACGTGCGCCGGAGAGAGAGCGCCATTTTCCACGAAAACAGTGGATGAAGGCGCCACCAACCTAAAGCAATTTTTTTAAACTCACAATGTTACTAAGAAATAAATCATCTCCGAAAGCCCTACAGGTGTAATGACACGCTGGCTGGTAACATCTTCAGGTTCATCTGCCGCCTAGGAATGTGGACTGATGTTGGGGGAGAAGGGGGTTAGGGTACGAGGGGTACCTGGATGGAATACAATCTGGCGAGTCGGCATGCAGCAGTAATTAGTTTCCCAAGCTCAAGGGCATGCAGATAGATCTGATTGGAGAGAAGCATGCATGTAGTTACTTTGATCATTCTTCGCCTAATTCTTTCATGACAACTTCTCAGCCACAACTTTGACTTACGAGTTCACATTCTCCCATCGTAGGATACATCCATAGCAAGCGTCCATCCAATCTGGCTTATAAGTGAAAGTCTTTCTTTTTCTCACATAGTTGCGTGAACATTATTAGCTAGTCACATTTTTACACCCTCCCCCCTCGGAAATTTCTCTTATCTTCTAACCATTAAGAGCATATTCAATGTGAGCTCTCGCGTATCGAACTGAGATTTGTACGTATTGGAACTACAGAGGTGGCTTTGAGCAATGGCCACGGAATAATTTGTCCCACTATCCGAGCTCGAGACGTGATTTAAAAGTCAATTATCCTGGTATTGCCCTTGTCTAGCGCCACCAACAATGCGATGGAATGCCACGACGGCAAGGTATGTTATGGCCTTCAGCCGCCTATAAATTATGCGTTCTGCCCCAAAAAGTAGATACATTTCGACACAATAGTTACTCGCTACTGAGACTCTATTGCTTTGTTGCTATCCACTCTTCGAAACATTTAATTCCTTGACTGGACATAATGGCCACAACTCTTCGAACTCTTCTTGTGGCGGTGGGCCTTGTCTTTTCGGCCGCCGTGAACGCGAGCCCTTCGATGCCTTCGGGTGAGCCCGAAGCTCAACAAGTGGGAGACTGTAAATGACCCTTGGAATGCGAGTCTATCATCCATGAAATAATTTTACTGACCATGCGCAGGCGATTCTTGGTATTCACCTCAACTCAAAACTCCTCCTGAGACCTGCAACGACGTCGTCAATATGCACCCAGGGCTTGATTTGGCCACCTTTCTCAAATTGAACCCTACGATTCACCCTTACTGCGACAACATGCTGATAGGCCAGAAAGTCTGCGTTGGAGCTACTCAGCACAATGACAGTCCAAAGCCAGCAGAACCCAGTGCACAGCAGTGGGAAAGTAGTCCAAATCAGTGGGAAACTAGTGCCGCTCCGAAGCCGCAGGAAACTAGTCCACCACAGGAAACTCGTCCACCACAGGAAACTGGTTCACAGCAGTGGGAAAGTAGTCCAAAGCAGTGGGGAACTAGTGCCGCTCCGAAGCCGCAGGAACCCAGCTCCACCGCTTCTCATGGATGGCATTGAGATCTGGTAGAATGCGCAAGGTCTCACTGGCGAGAGCCAGGCCTATCTAGCAGAGATCCTTTCTCCGATGGCACTTCTAGTCACTTTGAGTTCGGCTTTTTACTACTTAGTTTCCCATTGCCCCAAGGGTGAATACGAGTGCGACCCTTTATGTATTGTAATGAAAAATGGACTTCCTTGGCTCGAGATGATTTTAGCTCAATCGATTGAGTATTTAAATACGTAGACGCTGAAACTAGACCTCGAAATGGTCCGATTCCTGTTCCAAGGTCTAGAACCTGGAGTCGACACCTGAGAACCTAAGCACGGCTTGCGATATGTGTGGAATTATGCGCTATGGTGGAGGCGGTTGAGTCTTTCCGCCTGAACGACGTGTCCAAACATCTTTGAAGAAGAAGGCATCAGGCCAAGCTTGTACATCCGAATTCCCAGCAATTATAATGGAACTTTCCACTGCTTGATACCAAGGCTGCTTTTAGCAATATGGAGAGAAAAACTGAAACGGCGTCATATTCATATATATTCATATAAGCATATATTCACATCTGAAAAACACGTGGCAGACATCTCCCTCCAATGAATACACCATTGGAGTTGTCCCAGGAAGACTAAGCAGTCTCATTGTGGGAAACAACAACCCCGGCCTCCTTCTTCTCATCGGTATAAATGCGCTCCTGTTCACGGTCATACTCCTCAGCAAACTTCCTTCCATAGAGACCGATCTTGTACCAGGGAAGATCGAACATCTTGTCGATAGTCTCGAGGCTGCGACCGGCAGCCTCGGGCACAAAGAGCCAAACCCAAACGCCGCCAAGAACGGAAACGACACCAAAGAAGTAAAATGTTCCGTGAGGTCCAAGTCCATTCTCGAGTAGCATCTCAGGCAGGGCGCGGTTGACGGCGTACTGGCAGATAAAGTGCATGGCCATGGTGATGGACGAGCAGATACCACGGATGCGAAGAGGGAACAGCTCCGAGGACAGCAGGTACTGACCACTGTTCCATCCTAGGGCCCAACCGACACCAGAAATGTAGATAAACGCAATGGCGGCGGTCGAGGCACGGCTTTGCCCCGCGGTTGGCTCAAAGTGGGAGTTTTCGGCAATGGGGACGAGGTTAAGGAAGACGGCAATATAGAACATGGCAATGCTCTGGAGAACAATTCCGATAATAAGAGAGCGCTTACGGCCGGCCATATCGACCAGGAAGAGAGCGCAGATTATGGCGGCGACGAATTTGACGACACCGAAGACGACGGTCGAGAATAGAGACTGCTGTTGACCGGTGATACCGACGAGCTTGAACAGATCCGGGGCGTACACAGTAATGGCGGAGCCACCAGACCAGCAAGCCATGTTCTGGGCGAGATTGGTGAGGAACAGACGATAGGCGTTGCGTTTGATGCCAAGGATCTCCTTGAAGAGACCCTTCCAGCCCATACCGCGGGTGGCCTCCATCTCTTCCTGGAAGGCAAAGTCCATTTCGGTGATCTCTTCAAGGACGTATGGGTGGGTGGCGGGTAGGCCACGGAGTTTGCAGAGAACCTCGAGGGCCTTCTCGCGCTTGCCCTGCTTGATGTAAAACCGGGGGGACTCCAGCTGGAAGAAGGTGAGGAGAAAGATGATTCCGGCGAACATGAGGTGTAGCGAAGTGGGGACAGCCTGTAGGGGAGGGAATGTTAGTCAATCCAGCAAAGAATTGGAGTGGCCGGCACTTACCCAGCGGTTATACGAGTCCGCCATGTGAATTGAAGTACCCCAGTTGGCAAAGTATGCAAGCATGATACCACTGGGCTTGGCATTAGCAGCTGAAAGCGAGACAACAAGAAAGAAGAAGGGGAGTATGAACTCACAGGTACACAGCACCAGTAAACATACAAGTGCAGAGACCACGAATGGGGGCGGGAGATATTTCAGAAAGGTAGATGGGACCAACGACACAGGTCTGTCCAATACCAAGACCAGCAATAAAGCGACCAGCGTAGACGGCAGCCATGCTGCCATTGTTTCCAAGAAAGATGGCAATACCAAGAATCCAGAGAACACAGAGCTGACGAGTAGCCCAAACACGACCAATCCGATCACAAACGACGAAAGCACTGTCATTTAACCATAATTAGCAAAGGCTTTCGAGCGTAAAGACGGAGACGATGGGTTTCATTAGCAAGACTTACAACAAAGCACCGGCGACACTGCCGAGTTGAACCATAGAGGAAATAGTACCCTTGACACTAGCGAGCTCAGTCTTTCCAAGGTCGTCGATACCGACAGACTGCTTGAAGGCGTGAGAGTTAAAGACACCCGTGATAAGACCCTCATCGACACCTCGGGCAGCACCCATGAGACCAAACGCGAAGACGGCGAACCATAGCTTCCAGTTGAGTGTCTCCTTGGGCAAACCGCCCGTGTTGAACTTGAAGACGTTGATGGCCGCACCACCCGCCATGATGAATGATGTTATCTATTATTTCTAGACAGGTCGTGACGAAAGCATAGACAACTCAATCGTATAGAATGTGATGTGATAGACTCGCAAGGCTCGGTCAAAGAACAATATCAGATGAAGACGACACGCTCGGCAGAGATCTCCGAAGCTGGCGGCCGTGGAATAGGGAAGACTGTGAGGGGGAGAAATATTGCGCAGAGAGCGGGCATGCACGATCTCTTAAATCCCATTTTGCGCCAAGGAGGCTCATACGGGGGCCCATGGGGTAATAGACGTAAGGTTCATCAATCGAGGGCTGTCGGGTCGAATGTCCAGGGCCAAGGCTCGGCGTGGGCAAGCCTTAGGCTTGAGCATTGAATTCAGCCACGTCGTTCCTTAATTCTCCGATTTTCAGATAGGGACAAGTGAGCCCATAGCTCAACGAGATTTACATAAATAGAATTGTGAGATGAACGGTCCTTTTAATTTCAGTCCAGCGCAAATTTACTACCATTCAATCCTAACTAGCACACTATATAGCCCAAAGATATACTAACGGCGAAGTGTGTCTTCTAGTTTTAAGTGAGATGCCATGCAAGGGCCACATGGACGATGATCTTGCGGCTGCGTCTGATCCCAACAATGAAAATACCGATGAACGGACCAAAGGTTCCAGAGCTCAGTCATACTAGATTAATAATGGACTATGTCGCCGAAATTTGCAGATATATGCCTCACCCAGACCCGAAGGATTCCGAAGCTTCTTGACATGGTCTTTTACGGTCTTCTCCGCGGCACCATTCGCCCCCAGAAACAGGGAAAGATAGAGTATAGCGTTTGGTCGGCGTTGATGTCAAAGCATAGCCTATGCCAAGCACGGGATGTAAGATTAGGGCCCAATCAAATGGCTTCACATTAAGGATGGCGTTCTCCAGGTTTCGCCCCCCGCAAAAACGAAGATATTTCCTTGGGCCATGCGAATATATCTGTAAAGTCTATATGCCCCACACCTTAATTGTACTTTTTAGATTTCCTCATTTCCCCGTTGCCGTTCAGCTGGTTTCCGAGACCAATAAATTTCGGGGCCACCGCGGAGAAATTGACAGTCTTGGCACTGGCTATCATGTACAAAGTCGGCATCTAAAGAAAACAATGAATAGAAAATACTTTTGAGCCGTGGTGAACCTGTAATATAATAGCTTATAAGACTGCAGGTCTTCCTCCAAATTAATTTTAGAAAATTTACCGCCAGGTGCCAGGTGCCAGGTGGTAAGGGGATGGTGTCCTGTTTGGGAAGACCCGAGGAAACACCGGCGATGCCGTCAAATGAAAAAGAAGGAAGCCGTGTGGACTCGGGATCCGGGCCCTCTTGGCGCTGTGCCTCGGGCCTTGGCTTGTCTTAGTGTATCACCGATGGTCGGTCTATGAGACTCGGTCCAGAAAAGCGAGAGAGTTTGTCGTCAGGTTGGCTCGGGCAGATATTTCCGACTCCGGTTTCCCCCACAGATTTCCCCGCATGTCGTAGCATCCCATGACCATTTCTTATGGGTCCATTTGTCTACCTAACATATCTACCAAGTAAAGCTAGGAATCTTAATTCTTGAATATGCAGGGCAAGCTTTGGGTGAAATCGAAATACACGAAACTGGTATTAGCATAGTGCTTATATAGACTAACTGTATAGACTAGAAATAATAACATCTGCATTACTAGCGGGTATCAGGCATAGGACCCTGTCACGGTAGGGTATGTGATTCTCCAAATACAGAGCGGATGAGAAGGACATTTGAAGATGTAAACTCTTCGTTTCCATATTGAAACAATTAGACATTTGGCATATTCCAACTTAATCTTATAGTTTGAAAGACAACATATACCATCTAGCAGGGGAGGAACGCAGAGGTACATAGCTTCTTTTCGTTAGTTAGAGTATAAACGGAGCTTGTCTTCTGGATTGTCGTATTCTAGTACACGAGCTGCATATCTCTCCCCCACCCCAATGCTCCTGCCGGGAAATTCTCGCGAAAACCTTCGGCATCACCTCCCAACTACACAAGGTTTTGTTCGTCGATAAGGTTCAAGAATAGGGATTCTTCAAGGACCACGTTTAGCCCCTTGGTGAAGGGGTAATTTGCGTATCCGGGGGGTTATCTATCGGGTAATCTCCTTACGCAAGCCTTGAGGCGAAATCAATGGAACCGGAAAGTCACGACTGCGGGTGTGAACGCTCTATAACCTGGTCAGTGCGATAGAACGATATGTGATGTCTAGAATGTGGGTATATTCATAAGTTGAGTTCTCAGGAGACAGGTATGCCGGTTCTTGGAACAATGTAATGCAAAACGTCACAGGGGAGATACTGTGACGCCATCCAAAATAGAGGTAATTTTCGATGTGAAGCTGACTGGTACAAAGGTCCCTCCAGAGCTCCATCATGCCTTCGTGGATCATTGGGCAAGGTGCATACAACAGGTACATTGAACGGAGCAGCCGCGAAAGGAGTTGACCCGTCAACTTTTGACGAAGCCGCGTCCACCCGACTCAGCTAGAATGGCGGGCGGCCATTCAGAAAGAATATACATGTCTCGGAATGACGTGCTAGCTAGAGATCATGTGTTTGGCTTCAAATGGGTCTTTGAACGGAAAATCAACTGGGCCTACAAAGCTCGACTAGTGTTCAACGGCTATCGAGAGAAACATGGCATTGACTACCATAAAACGTTCGCGGCCGTGTCTCGGATAGACACGTTTCACTGCATCGTCGCCTGTGCCGTCTTACGCGGATAGAAACTCTACCAATCGATTTAGTCACAGCTTTCCTATATAGGGATGTTGACTTGCCTATCTATGTAGAGCTACCTGAAGGCATTCGAAGCACCTGGTTATCTATGCCGGCTTCGCCGCTCCTTGTATGGGCCTAAAGTAGGCCCCGCGGATCTAGTACTAATAGGTTTACCACGTCCTAGCGGCTCACGGCTTACTATAGCCTAGTCTAACGACTACGTCTTCTATAAATAATAACTACGTTGTCTATGTCTACGTCGATACTTTCTCGTTGCCGTAGAAAATAAGAACGAGATAGAATAGGTTTAAGAGCACTAGAGACTGAGTACCGACTAAATGATCTAGGCACCCTAATTTCGTTCCTCAGCGTCTAGTTCGACTTTCATACGAGCGGATCTATCTCGATCAACTAATATTAGTATCTAGTATATACGTAAAACCCTCTCGGACTTAAGTATAAAGACATGTCAAATTAGTGATAGCCTAAACGGTGACATCTAACCCCCTTCCACATCGTGAAGCTCTGCCTCTCTTGCGCCCTTTATGGCTTCCTGATTAAACTCTTCGCTCTGGGGCAGCTCAACTGTATACTTGTCAATGACAGCCACTTGGAGGCTGACATCCCCAGTAAACCCTGTGACATGGCCCCCTCTAGTTCTATCCTTCGACAAAAAGTGCAAGTGAAAGCCTGCGACACTGAAGCCCCCACTGAAAGCTGGAGACCAGAACCCAAATAGCGTGCCTTCAATATTCTCAAGGCTCACTATTTGCTGTCGTTTGGCCAGCTCCGAAAGGGGTTCTCGAGGTCTGCATTGCCCCGCTATCACTCGGAATGTGATAAGTCTGAACATTCCATCGAGGCGAATTGATAGAAAGCAATTCTGCCGAGAGGGAAGCAGAGGGCTCAATGCCTCTGGGAGCGAAGTCATGCTAAGTGAAGGCAGGGCCTTTTGGAAGGTTGGTTCAAACCGAGTGATCATGACAAAAGGAAGAGCATCGGACATTTCGACTTTCCGGAGTTCCTCGCCTGGAGGGAAGTGGTAGGCTCTGCCGTCAACTATAACCACCTCTCCATTTAAACCGGGTACGGTACCGAGGCCATGATCGCCATGCGCAAGGGTATCTTTGAGAGCGGTACCTGTTTGACAAATGCCGTTCAATAGAGCACTGAGAATTGAATACTGATAGATATTGTTCGTGGCCATTACGTCTGAAATCAGGAGTTGAAGGTGGTGTAAATTGTGACGTACAAGACTTGAGTATATGCCCGGAAAATCATTGTGTAGGTAAACTCTCGGGCTATGTTCACACTTTATTGTTATCATCTTTGCAGATCTTTCCCAGTTTCACGATCAAATCCCACAGGGCTGTATTGATCAAAGATACGCATATCTCAAAGAATTGCAACAATTTTCCTCTTTCGTGATGGATGGTTACACAGTATGGCCTCACCCGCATATCAGGCGGAGGGGCACGTTTGAACGTCATAGGCAGACATCTGCAGGATAAATAGCCCGAAAATGTCGAGCAGAAAGCCATACCATATCACCTACTATTTTTGTTTTGTTGTACATTTGTTGCACACCACTACAGTCTCCTCGCTTAGCCGATGGTGTACACATTATGTAACTGGTCATTATCTTCGTTTTTCAAGGACCAAGCCGTAAGGAAGTATCCACCGCTATGATCCATCTGGAGCTGAATCAGACCGATGGACACTAATATCATGAACACAATACCTTGACTACCCATATTACTCCTCAGTGGTACATGTAGGTATGCCCGATCTATATTGTGTTTTAAAATATCAGATAGAGTGATCATTAAACAAATTGCGTAGACAGACAGAGATCTCAATTATAAGGGGCAAGATATCTTTTCACTTTCGAGGAAGGGTGTTAAACTTCAGGAAAATCGGTGCAGATCCGTGGATATTGATACTCTCACCTGACTCACTCAGTAACATCATCTTTGTCCTTTTCCTTTTATTTATAAGATACAACTGATCCACCCTACTCATTCCTGTTCTATTCCCACTAGTTGCATCCGAGACACAAACGTCCAAGACAACATGAATATGACTGGCCTTCCGGGCTTGCCTCCAGAACTCCAGGAGTTCATCATAGACGATTTTCTTCCACAGCGTTGTTCTATCTTTCAAGATAATCGAGAATGGTTGGACAAAAGGCTTGTTTGCAGTAAGCTATGTCTTTCCACAATCTGCATTCTTAATGCTAATGGCAGTCTCAGGAAGTTTCGATGCTATCATCTCACGCCGAGCATTCCAAAGATTAGACTTCCAGAATATCTCCGCCGCGGAGCCCCGATTAACCAGAGACACAATAGTCTGGCTGCTTCTTCAAAAAGTGATTTCGGAGAAAGATTACAGTGATCTGCATGACAGAAATCTCCATCCGCTTCTACGAAAGACTGTTGTTTTGTGGGGTGTATGTTCCCTTGCCGTCTTATACCAAGGAAGACTTTCGATATGTGAACGGCTTTCAAATCCGGCCCCAACTCACTTAGTGCAGCGGTTGCTGTTGAACCAGCTCGCTGTGATTTGTTATATTGGCAATGAAGACATCGTTAGATCACTGGTCGCTCAAGGCAATGATGTGAATGCAGAGGATGAATTCCTTGGTACTCCGTTGTATGCGGCTACTCACAGCGGACAAGAGGGAATCATTGATATCCTACTCAAGCATGAAGCCAACCCAAATGTGAGGGGATACTCCCGCGCTCCCTTGGTGGTGGACACACGAGATGACGAGGAGGTACTACTGTGGACCAGAAAGCAGAATCCAATCCAAGGCGTTACGGCTCTTTGGTTGTCTTGCTCTTATGGATATACTGGCATTGTGCGGCTCCTACTGAACCATCAACAGATTGATGTCAATTTGAAATGCGGTGGAATGTCTCCTCTTGCGGTCGCCGCCTCACGCGGCCATGAGACGGTAGTGCGCTGGCTTCTGGAAAAGGGAGGACTTATGGGTCGACCTGGAAAACCGGATGCATTGCCCGTTATGGTATGCTACCATGGGAGGACACGCGCGAGTTCTACAGCTACTCTTAGACAAACTACATGTCGGTGCGGATGACTACAAATGGAACTCCAGGACGTTACTATGGTGGGCAGCTTCTTGGGGCCACCCGTCTGTTGCCCAGATGTTGCTGAGCCGTAGTGATGTCAACCCTAACTATCACAGGGGTGACGGTGATACGCCATTGTGGGAAGCTGCTACATATGGACACATTGATGTGGTGGCATACCTGTTACAAAGGCAAGATATTGATCCGAATATCCCTTCCTGGACCCCTTCTAATACGACACTTTGGACGGCACTTTGGAGGCGGCATGCAAATATCTTGGATCTGTTGTTGCGTTGCAAGGCAGTGAATCCGAATTCGAGAGGGCATGATATGCTTACTCCTCTGTCGGGTGCTTGCCTATCCGGTCAAATGCTCATGGTGAAGATGTTGCTGAAGCGAACGGATATCGATGTCAATAAAGCGGACTGCTGCATTCGCACGGCTGCATCATATGCTTGTCAAATGGGCTATGATGCCATCCTCCAATTACTTCTAAAGCGGAGTGATCTTGAATTGGACAAGCCAGATGATGATGGTCGCACACCCTTGGCTTGGGCAGGGGAATACGGCCATGTGAAAGTCGTGCAGCTCCTGCTCGAACACCGACCAGCACTGATAAATGTGCAGGATAAAGATCGATCGACGTGTCTTATGAAAGCTTCCGAGAAAGGTCATCTTGCTGTTGTTCAATTGCTCTTGACCTTCAACGCCGATATTCATTTGAAAGACAGGAACCACCACACAGCGCTTTGTATAGCTCAGCAGGGGCGCTATCGGAACATTGAAGCTTGTCTGAAAGAGCACAACAGTACCTCAAGGATCAAGCAATTGTCAACGAAATCATGGACACCGTTACGAATCGGAAGTGCCTAGTATGCTAAGAGGAGAGCAGTCAGAGAGGGATTTAAGAAAGAAAGTTGTTACCAGGAGGTCATACCTAAAATGTAATCTATGGCTTATGCAATCGCTGTATTCGTTTCTATAACACTGATTTAGCCTAGCTACTGTGGGCTTTGGGCTTAAATCTGCTCGATCTAAATATTATACAGGCCAACGGTTTAGGTCTTTGTTATTTTTCGGCTGTAGATGCGTGCCACATAACTATGACAGATCGAAAGCCAGAGGGCATGAGAACTACGGTATGCTCCAATATTGGGGTTGTTCTCGGTGCCGCTAAACGTTGCCGTACGGCGCGACGCTTTGGAAATGGGTTCTTAAGAATGATGGCTTATGGATGTTGAACTTTACGGAGATCAAATAGCGGCAGTGAGCCTGAGGTGAAAAGGGAATGATTACCCTGTTGGTATGTACATAACCGGATGTACACCAGAAACCGAATGTCAAGAAGAGACTATACCGTGGCCAAAGTCTGTTTCAACCCTGAGCTCGGTTTGTCTTATCCTCAATCCCGGGGTAATAAAGCTATTCTGTCCGAGCTCAGCCGTGGCGAGTAGGTAACAGAAGGATAAAAGGTATTGGAAAGGAATGAAAGAAGAAAAAATAAAGTCATTGCAGACCGATCGAGGTCTTTCGTCACGAAACATAAGTGCTAGCAATGTAGCCAAAGATAGTAGTAATAAGAAAAGGAGTGGAAAAGGTTCAACCTTCATCAAGGCTCGATCAAAGGAGTCGAGGTAGCAAATAAAAGACAAGACCAACCCAGAAGGAAACTTGAGAAGAAAAAAGGTCATACGTCGCTGTCACATGATGTTCGGTATTACATGAAAGGGGTCTTGCGCTTTTCAGCGCTGGACAGCACCAGCATCGGCGTCTTGCGCCGTTCTGGTGCCTGAGCCACCGGCCCCTGGCCAGCAACAACAGCCGCCGCCGAGGGCGAGGAGGTGCCACTGGCACTAGGCGAGGGGGCATATTCCCCACGAACATCCACAAACTTCGACCCGAAATAGCCACCATCCTCGCTGGTTGGGGTGGCACTGTGGAAAGGACTGTCTGGGGAGCCACGGTCCCGACCGGACTTCTCCTTTCTCTCAGATCCAATAGCACCATTGGCCACTGCTCGCAGGCTGCCTAGACTGGGCTTGCTGGAGAGACTGCCGCTTCGCACGGTTGCATCATCGTTATCAGAAAAAGTGAACTCCTTCTCGCTTGCCGGGGTGTTTGTACCACCGCTGCTATGGTATCCAAGACTGCGTGTGTCACCACGACGCTCAATACCCGCGCGAACAAGGTTGTGGACAGCACGGCGGCGCTGGCGAGTCGCGAAGTTCTTGCTGCCCTCGTGCTGGGAAGTGGGTTTGGCTACAAGATCCTCGAGCGAAGGGGGTCCACGGGGCTGACGGATCGGGTGCTCACCAGCACGACCTTGACCGGGTCCAAAGGTTCCAGTAGCCGGTGTCGGCGGCAGAGCAGCAGACCGAGGGCCAGGTCCCACGTTGGCCTTGGAGGTATCGATGTTAGTTTTGATGACCGGGTTAAACGAAGGATTCTTCCGGTGGCCGCGGCGAAGAGCGCTCATAGATGCCTCCTGCGGCGGAGAAGGGCTGCCAGTAGGAGGAGACATGGTTTGCGGGAACTGCATTACCGAGTGCGCAGATTCCGCGGGAGGAGAGATCTCTGCACGGAATTGCGGCACTTGCTGACCAACATGGGATCGGGTATCTTGATAGGACTGCGGCGAACCATCCTCCGGGGAGCTGCTGTCCATAATGTAGCTTTGCTGGCCAGTCAAAGGGTTGTAAACGCAGAACAATCCAGGGTGACCAGGAACCGGCTGCACAATCGGCTGAACGCCTTGCTGGAGCTGCTGCTGATAGAATCCCATGCCGGGAAGGGAGGGAACCTGCTGCTGCTGAGGAAGAGACATGCCCAAGTTGAGACCTTGGAATTGCTGAGCCGCAGCAGTGACACTGATCAACTGCTGTTGCAGGCGCTGTTGCTGAGCAGCAAGGAACAGATTGGTTGACATGATTTCCGCGTACATGTTCTCATCGATGGGGATGTCGCCACCTTCAATATCAAGCATTGGGGGTGCAAGTACCTGCTCTGGCAGGGTGTACATCATGCGGTTCTGCTGCGCTTGATGCGCTTGGTAAGATTGACGTGACTGGTGCGACTGATGCGACTGATAATATTGATGCGATTGATGCGAGTTCATGCTCTGATTCGTAGCGTACGTCTGCTGCGGGAATCCGGTTCCCGTCGCAGTTTGTGGAACTCGATCAGCTCCTCGGCTGGGGAAACCAGGGAATCGTCCACCCTCCATTCCATTCCGTTGTTGCTGGGAGGGAATTGTGGCAGACTTGGGAGCAGTACGCAGCCCAGCCAAGAGATGAGAGCGACTGGTGCGGGGAGTAGAAATTGAGGCAGAAGTCTGGGACTCATCGATGGTAGCAATCTGGGGTGGCACACTCAAACGCTTGATATGCGAGCCTTTGCCGCGCGAGGCAAAACCAGAGCCCGGGACCCCGAGGGAACCGCCATTATTGAAGGAAGAGTTGAAAGTCATTTGAGCAAGACCGCCAGCGTCCATACTCATGGTTGTCGATGAGGGGAGAATTGTAGGTATGTGCAAAATAATGCAGGTGGAGCAAGTCGCGTTTTTCCACGTCCGGGATTCGAGAGCGTTTGGGGTCAACCACAAAGCTGAGCTCACTTCCCGATGATTAAGAAATTATGTTGTCTATGCAAGGAGGTGCGCTGAAATGAACCTGCAAAATCGAGATTCGACGACCGAAAAGGTAAACGGAGATGCGAAATTCGGTATATCTGCGGAGAACAGCCGGTTAGCGAAATCCAGTAGACAGAGGGGGGGAAACACGCGTACCAATCACGGAAAAGGATATGCAAAGCGAGCCACAGGCTAGCAATAACGATGGCAGTTGCCAGGATTACCAAGCTGTACAAGAGCTGCTCTGCGGTTGAGGTTCGCAAAGCCGCAAACAAGCCTCGAAGAAACGAGCAAGTGAAAGTGACGGGGTGGCAAGCACCAAAGGAAGAGACAATTATGAGGGTATCGCAGAAAGGTCTGTCAAGAAAGACCGCAAAGGAAAAATAGAAGGGAAAAGCCAAAGGGAATGCTCTGCAAATCCCAGGTGAATAAGAAAGTAGAGGAGATACGATGGCGAGAATCGAAGACCTCGAGGCTGAAACACGGGCTCACGGTGTCAAACAACCCAGTGTTATGCAGATGACGAAACCAGGTTCAAGAACCAGGTGAAAGGAGAAAGGTCAGAAAAGTAGTGTGAATTCGGGTCTCTCGGCCAGACGCGAGGAACGTTTTTCAGGGGCGGAGCAGATCGGGGACTATTTGCAAGGGTGCTTTTTTTTGGTCTTTTCTTCCAATAAACGGGACGAGCTGCAGAGAAAGAAGGAATGCAGACTGGGAAAAAGAAAGAAAGAAGCGAAAATTAGGATGGTTGAGAAAGAGAAGAGCGAAGTTGTGAGGATGTGGGGAATAATCGAACTGGTGTGGCCTCAGGCACGATATACACACTAGGCCCAAAGGAGACTAGATCATAGAGTCAGGTACAACTCCTCCCATTGTTCTTTGTTTCTTTCTTTTTTTCCCTTTCTTCTGATAGCTCCTTATAGTTCTTGCATTATTGGGCAATTCAAGATGAACTCGGTGTTTCTGCCTGATTCCAGCTGGGTGATATGAGCAAATGCCCACTCGGATCTGACTGGCTCGTCCTATCAACCAATGAGCAGCACACCCAGGCGTGCAGTGATCCCCCATCACATCCCCAGCCAAATCATTGGTTGCTAGCCACTAGCGGCGCGACGTGGCTGCCTTCTACGCCTGACAATGTCCCTAGAGCCGCTCGCCGCTGATGCCAAGCTGTCGGAGGCAGCCAATTGTCTCACCTCGAGTGCTTGCTTGCTAGCTTGATACTGGTACGGAACTCATTCTGATTGCTCATAGTCAATCTCAGGGCTGAAGATCAGGTGGAATTGCACAGACCTTGGGACTGTTCAGATCTTGTGTTGTTGTGGGAAGTACTGGGGCCAGCGTGATTATGATCTACATGTACGATTGGCCACGATGATCCTGGACGTCAACTCCGTATTTGCAGACGCCTTAAACCACGCCTTTTGCCACCAATTTACGCCGTACTTTACATATAAACTTCCAGCTTCGCACTTCACTTTTCCCCTGTGTACACACTTGACTCTGCACAGATCTGGTCTACCGCTAGACAGCCCGTATACAAAATAACCCACAGTAGCTGCTGTTTTAAATGCGCCATCTGATTCAGGGGGACAGCGGTACTCTAAATCCTTGTCTTCGAAGCTGCTCGTTCATCCTCGCATAATAGTCAGTCTGGGTATTACTGCGCACTCTCATACTCTCCACGTCCCACTCAGTGAGGTATTTATGGAAGTACTTATGGAAACCCCCGAATGGTTTAATATATCACAGAGGGAAACTGATGATTCAAATGTTACGTTATGATTGATGAAGGAAAACCTTTTCCCCTCTATGTACACACCTAACTCTGTACAGGCCCCATACGGGGAACTGTTAGACAATCCGTGTCCAAATGACTCCCTCCGATAACACGTGTAAATGAGGTAACGAGAAGCCATGAAAATGTGACAAAGAGACAATGGACATGGAGAAACGAAGAAACAACACGCGGGGTATCTGCTGGCTCCTGGTATACCAAAAGGAGAGGAAATCAATGAATCGTGAGATGTACACCAAGGCAAGACCTAAGCATCAACTGGAACACTAGGGCCAGGAAGCGCGGCCGAGTCGTTCTGGGACGGTAGGCGACGGTGGCCCAGTTCTGGAGTTGTGCCTTTGCCGTTCATTCGGTCAAACTCCAGAGTTTCGGCCAACTCAGCAGCCATAGGATCCAGATCTTCTTCTCTCAGTCCGGTGGCCAAAGCCACAAGTTTGCGGTGCACATCAAACTTGGTGCTCACGCCAGCATCCGCTGTTTGCTGGGCTAAATCTTTGACGGCATTGCGTCGTATCCTCTGGGCAGAGCACAGCTCCTGGGCGAGTTGATACCGAGTCAGCAAGTCATCTTGCTCAAGAGAGGCTGGCGTCGGTTTTGGCGTCTCCGTGATCGAAAGCTGCTGGGCTAAACGTGAATGCTGTATCTGCTCGAGAAGAGACTCGTAGTTTGCGCGCAACTTTTCATAGCGACCAAGCTGGTCGTCACTGCGCTCGTATTCAGCTTCCTTTGCTGATAATGCAGCAAGCTGCTTTTGAATCTTCTGGCGATCAGATTCAAGTTGTTCGTGTAATGCTTCGGGGTTGGCAACATCATTAGAATCTTGTTGGTTGATCTTTGAGTTCCCATATGTCACAGCAAGCTTTTTGTTAGCCTCGGCCATGATTGTTCCTATCTTGGAAAGCAGTTCCAAGGTCGCGGGAGCATCGGCCGTAAGGGCAACAGAGTGGCGATCTTCCATAAGACCACCTTCACCATCCATGTGATCATTGGCCATTATGGTAGAAGATGGAGCTGGAGGAATATCATGCTCGGTGTGGTGGGATCGGTTAGTGATCATACTAGCAGTCTCTCCTTTGTTGTTGACGAGATCACCAGCGCGGTGGCAATGCACGAGAAGTATGTTCACCAGGCGGAATGCGCCATTGCGAGCAGCGACAAGGACTGCTGTGTCACCATTCTGATCTTGGCATGATAATAACAAATCAATTTCATCTTGCGAGCACGTCTTGCACAACTTATCAAGGAGCACTTCACAATAATAACGGGAGCTCTTCCACTTTCCCTTGCTTCGGGTATTCTCCGCAATGTGATGGAAAATAGTGGCACCAAACCAGTCCCGGAAAGACACAGTATCCAGGAGCAGATCCAGGAGTGCCTGGAACGTTCTCTTCTCATAGTTGTTGGTGAACAGAACAGCTCGGACGAGCGGCGTCTCTTCATGCTGAGAGAGTGCCTTAACATTAGCCCCTCTGCGCAGAAGATCTTGCACGATCATCAAGTCGCCCATCGCGCAGGCCCAGTGCAGGGCCGTATTTCCGGAGTCGTCAATGGCGCGGTCGACTTGGAAATGAGCGGGGGGCTCGGGAGGAGGGATTCGCGTTGCCTCTGGAGCATCACCCACAGTCATGAAATAGTCTAGGAGTTGATCGCCATAGATTATATGTTCCTGTTCGCTGATAGACATCGCGGTTGCTTCGTCCACTCCACGCTTCCGCTTCCGACCGCCATGCGACATTTGAAGCATGTCTTCATCTGCAACCATAGAGGACGACTCGATTGTAGCATGTCCAAGTGATTCATTGTCGTCAAATCCGGTATTGAGGTCATAATGGTCTTGTGGGATGGTGGGAGGGCCCATGCTCCGCTGAGGTTGAACAACAAGAGTCTCTGCCGCCGCTGCGGCAGCGGCGGCGGCAGCACGGCTTGCGGCGGCTGACTTTCTGGGCGCTCTTGGTTTAGACGGAGCGGAGGTGTGCTTCGGTGCGGGTGGGGGACTATGATCCCCAGCAACATAATCGAAGATGGGAGCTAACTTGGTAAGAATGTTATTGCGCTCGGCGAGTTGACGACCTTCCGGAAGTGGAATCCATGTTCCTGTGGGCATTGAGTGTCAGATAATCAAATATCGAGTTCCAGACCTCCCGCTTCCAAAGCATACCCTGATATTTGCCATAGCCACCTTGGACTTTCTCATGTACCCCCTTCTGAACCTCGCGTTCCAGAATGCGAGTTCGTGCGGGCTTGTCAAAGCCCGCTGCTTTGAGGATGTGTGTTGCATTGACCCAATCATCGCCCCGTCTTCTCATGACACTGTCGCCATCGATCTTGAACTCGAACACGGGGACCTGGCAGTAACTATATTAGTCGCTAAACGTGCAATTTGGGAAACAATACCGAATATAAGGGTGAGTATGTTTCCTCGGCGGTGTACTTACACTGCTGTAGGTAGCAGAGTAGATCTGGTCCATCCCCGCCATGATGTGCGTCGCCGTTGGCCGCTGCAATCCAGTAGGTTCCCGACGAGCAATATGCCACGATACGCACGTTTGCGTCCGAATGTCGCTCGTTGAGTATCCACAAAGTAATCAGCTTAGGAATTTTTCGAAGGTCCAATGCATTGCACACAATAAAAATCCAGACCAAGAACGCAGAGACGATTCGGTGGAGCTGGGATCGGGACGCGACTGACGCGTAAAGTGGTGGTTTCTACGAGCTAAGCCTAATGCAGCGATCCCAGTCATGTGATTTGATCACGTGGCCAGTATCGGGACAGCAGGAACATCAAACGAGCGGGAATCGCCAAACTTGACCTGCCTCTCCTTCCCCGTTCTTTGCATCTACTACCTTCAATACCGATAAAATGACTGTCATCGAGTCGGTCAAGAGTGCCGTGGGCCTCTCGGACTCCTCCGGTAAGAATCCGAAGCCATTGACCAGCAATCAAAAGCTTTGGCAGCAAGTTAACCTCTCCCAGCAACCCGCCAGGAAATGTCCGAAGCCCGCCTTCCCATGCAATACAGAGACTCGTGTGCGCATCTTTTGATCCCTCTGAACCGGTGCCGGCAACAAGAGTACTACCTTCCATGGAAGTGTGAGGTACGAGATCCCTCGAGTTCAATGTCCCAGCACACCCCGATCCGATCGGTGCGCCCTTGCAGAGCCGACCAGCTAATGCGATTCCATACAGGACGAGAGACACTCCTACGAGAAGTGCCAGTACGAGGAGTTTAAGAAGCGCGTGGCCAAGATGGATGAGCTACGTGCCGCCAAGGACGGCGCCCGCAGCAATTAAATTGTGCGATTATTGGTATGAGCGGTCGGAGCTGCTTGCAGAGCAGCAGGTTATGTAAATAAGAGATACACCGAAACTGCTTATGGATTGCCTTTTGGCGTTGGGACCTTTTCCATTGAAAATCGGCCACTTTATCCGCCCACAACAATTGGTTTTACGATTTACCTGCGACCTAATGCTTTCTTTGACATCAAATAAGTCAAAACACTCGACGTGCTTCTCGTGCAGAGCTGCACTTTGCAATTGAACATCGCGTCAGATCTTCCTGTCGGATATCTTGACAGACCTCGGCATTTGAGAACATATCACATACCTTCCAGCTGTCGCCGCTTGCTGGGACTGCCGATCAATGTATCTGGCCGCAAGGTCACATATCTGGATCACCAATTAACCGGTTGTCATGTCTGCACCGTGTTCACTGCTCTTAGTAGGAGGCTGTACCCAATCTATGATATGCCGTAGTAGTATTGATGTCTACATTCATGGTTCTATGGTTTCATCTTGGCATTTACGACCTCTTTATTGACTGTATGTATTTGCTCGTCTCCAGCATGAATGATAAAGTAAAATAATAATTCATTTTGGCTCTTCTTTCAGCTTGGTCATACTCTATATCACCACTAGCTTCACTGCTCTGCCTGCTACCTCCAAAACCGATCTTTCATACGCGCCTTAGGCTTCTCAGGACATTTGTTACCCTCGAGTATATGTTCTACATAGAGTACAAAACCTTGAGTCTATTTTTGCTTGTCCTTGCGTTCATAATGTCGGCGTGGGAGAAGGGAACAACAACAATAGTACTTTGCCTGACCCCACCAGCGGAGGTGAAGGATGGGATTTGAGCAAACAGTGGCTGTTATATGAGCAAGATAAAAATGAATCATCGTATTTTGCACCCTGCACAATACGACCGGGTGACGAAGGTGGGTTTTGCTCTCCATATCGTCTGACAATAGGCTTGAGTGAGCCTTTCTAGTGTCTCACGAACTCCAAGTGTATACGAAAAAGCTTTTTTAATAATGCGCAAACATTTATCATGTTCCATTTTCTTACAGCTGCAGTGCTCGGGCCTATAATGCAGGTTGCTATGATGATCCCTGAAAACGTTCGTTTAGTGATCAATCTCACCAGGCTCTATCTAGCCTTTTACGGAAGAATACCATGCCTAATAAGGCTGTCTAATCTTTAACTGACCCCAACAGACTCGAATAAAGTCCAGCAATATATACAAAGAGATAAACCAATCACCTGACTGCTTAGAAATCAGGGCCGTTATCGCCGAGATGCCCCGCCAGCAGCGGCGGTTGCGGCGTCTGAAAAATTCCCCCCTCATGCGATTTGTCGTCTCCGAATTGCAAAGAACCAGGCAGAAGTGGACTTGGAGCATGCGCGGGGTATATACGCTTGATCTGCCCCGGGGTTCTTCGTGTTCGACTTCGGTTTTCTATCACTCTGGACCTGCCCCGATCTCACCCCATACTTGTGCCCGGGCGTCGTACCTGAAGTCGCAGCAAGCTTTACAGCCTTGATACAATGGGTCTTTTGTATGTGCTTACCATGGCCGAAATAACAGGTTATCACTTGTCTAATATCAACAAACAGAGCACTTGGAACAGCGCTGGAATGGCCTGAAGCCAAGAAAAAGGCGGACCAGGTGCGCCAGTGGGGCATTGAAGTATGTGACATGCATTTGATGCATTTACATGACACCTGCAGAGAGCGACTGCTGACACGATCAGCAATTACTTGCCAATTGGCGCAGAGCAAAAGGAAAAGAGCGCGACGCTCTTCTTTGGGGTGACGAGGTACGGCATTCAGTCGGGTGTGTCCCGGTCGCATTTACTTATCAATCCTGGACTTAGGTCGAATACCTCGTGGTAGCCCTCGATGATGCAGCAAAGAAATCCCGGTTGTCCCTAGCCCAGGCCGAAATCCTGAAATCACTGGCGAGAGACGAAGCGCTATGGAAGTCTGGAACTAGCAAGGGCAATGAGAATGGAGAGCAGTGAGTGGGGTGCGACATGGAACGAGGGTACCATATCTAACAGCTAGTAGTGATGGCGAGGAACCTCCTCATTTCCACCCCGAGTTTGGAAGATTCATGCTGGAAGCTACTCCGGGACAACCATGGGGCATTGGGTTCAAGGACCTACTCAAGGTAGAGTCCAATATGAAGTGGAGGTAAGTTCTATGAGCAGAAACACCAGAAGCACGGCCTGGCAACATCCTAACGACTCCAAAGACGAGAAGTTGCGAGTGCCCACATGGCCCCGAACGAAGTCCCCATCACTTTAACGACTTTCCCTCGACTGGGAACAAAGGATGATTACATTCAGCCATACTATCCTCCCTCTGGGCCAGCTCTTCGCTCGCAATTTGTCCCTGATGAGATTGCCAATCCCCACATTCGGTTCCCAACTCTCGCCGCCAACATTCGGTCACGAAGAGGCCGCAAGGTCGAATTGAATGTACCCGTTTTCCATGACATCAACACTCCCAGGCCATTCAAAGATCCAACAGTCGACTACGATCTCCATAATTGGCCCGAGGATGACGACGTCCGTAATGGTGCCGCCAAAGAGGATCATGTTTACATGGATGCAATGGCATTCGGAATGGGCAGTTGTTGTTTGCAAATCACTTTCCAAGCAAAGAACATGACTGAAGGAAGGCGGCTCTATGATCAATTAAGTCCACTGGGTCCTATTCTTTTGGCTCTCACTGCCGCCACACCTATCTACAAGGGTTTCCTCGTCGACACGGATGTGCGATGGAACCAAATTGGCAATGCAGTCGATGACAGGACTCGTGAGGAGCTTGGCGAAGCTGTAGGTACCTCTGAAATAATGGACATAACTCCTGGAACTAACGTCTCTCAGCCTTTAAAAAATGACCGTTGGAGAATTCCAAAGTCTCGCTATGCCTCTAACTCTACCTATATCTCCCAAGATCCTCGGCTGCGGAAGGAGTATTTTGATCCTGATTTAGTCGTCGATGAGGATATCAAGAAACGCCTCATGGACGGGGGAATGGATGATCTACTTGCCACCCATTTTGCACACCTCTTTATCCGCGACCCACTGGTCATTTTCTCCGAAGATCTTGAAGAGCTTGACCTCAATAAGGGTGATCATTTCGAGAATTTACAGTCCACTAATTGGCAGCACATGCGATTCAAGCCACCGCCACCCGACAAGGATGATATTGGCTGGAGAGTGGAGTTCCGCTCCATGGAGATCCAGATTACCGACTTTGAGAATGCAGCATTCAGCATTTTCATCGTCCTTATTACTCGTGCTATCTTGAGTTTCGATCTCAACTTTTATATCCCGATTCAGCGTACAACTGAGAACATGGAAACAGCACACGCTCGCAACGCTATCCATGACCGGAAATTCTGGTTCCGCAAGGATCCCTTCTCTCGCAGAATTCCCCGGAGCGCACAGCAGTCCACGAACGGCAGCACCTTCTCATCCACGACATCCTCAGCTGTCAACACTCCGCCTCCCTCTCCACCCCTTGGTCCCGTCGACTCTGAGTTCGATCTCATGACCATCTCCGACATTGTGAATGGCTGTGCAGACGGAACTTTCCCAGGACTCATTCCGCTGGTGGAGTCCTACCTCAACAGCGTCAATGTGGACGTCGAGACCAGGTGTTTCCTGGCCAGCTATCTTGACCTGATCCGCAAGCGTGCCGACGGTACTCTCTGGACTGGGGCTAGATGGATTCGTGAATTCGTCGCCAAGCACCCCTCGTACAAGCAAGACAGCGTTGTCTCCGAGGAGATTACCTACGATCTTGTGAAGGCGGTTGAAGAGATGACTATCAAAGAGGGCAAACATGGATCAGTTGGATGGGAGCTTCTTCGAGGCAAGAAAACTAAATAGAGGCATCCACTCACAAATAGATATCCGGAGTGGAAGCATGTATAGCCGGAGCATAATTTACTTTGCACATATCATGACATTCGAGTCAGCTCTCATAGCATCTGATCAATCAATATTTCTCATCTTGGATCACAATTCTTCAACTGTTCATTCCAATAACTTCTCCTCCTCGGTTGGCCGCCGACACGAATCCGCCAGCCCCGTGACCTTCCATGTCCCGTTGAGCTTATGCAAGACAAAAAGCTCGACACCAACGTGATCCACGACCCCGTTTATCTTCGACCTGAAAGGCGCCCACACAGCAGCTAGATTGCCATACTCCTGCACCTTGACCTCGGGATCCCAGATGCGCTCATCGATATCATCCTTGAGCGTGGCAACATGCTCAACGAACGAACCAATCGTGCAGAAGCGCAGGGTAGTCGGAGATGGAGGTGAGAGGGACATTCCTCCAGCTCGAACACAGTGTTTCTCGAAGTCGACTCGTGATTTGGTGCTCAGTGCGGCGAGGAAGCCATGCGTGACAGCGATGATGGCATCTGCCTCCTCCGAGGGCCTTTGTTGGAGTGCTTCGCTGGAGTGCGGGTGAGTTGACAATGACCAGCACATTTGTAGAAAGATTCAAAGGGTGTAAAGCATCAGGTCTTCACTTCCGGGGCTTGTTTCTTTTTCTTCATATCTCAATCTCATAATTGTCCTCGGTAACTGACAGCAAATAACTATTCGTACATGTGTAAGTACCTGTACAAGTGATGTACTTTTCAATCACTGCTGTCACCGTTGCAGTGTCCACCGGCTTGTTGTTTCGCTCTGTTGCACCTTGTATGACCTTGTTCCATATCTGGATTTCTGCGATCTCCGCCACCGTCATACCAGAGGATGGGTGCCTCGTGTGTCACACTTTATCTTGTGCAGTGGTTGGTACCGCTTGCTACCTAGATGCTGTGCTCCCTCTCAGATTGATGCTTTCCGTTATTGGATTATTGAATAATTTGGACATGCAGCATGTGTGACTATCAGATATGAAATGTACCAGACTGCCATTCCTATCCGGGTCTAACCTTGGAAGTTCGTCATGCTGTAATCGTGATGCGTAATAGCAGTAAACTC